CTGATTGTTGTTTCTTGATCATTTATTATACTCTAGAAGCTTGAAAATATAAATAGTTGTCGAATAAAGCTCAATATTTTGGACACAAAAATGTAAACAAAGGCTTTGTTTACATACGGACTGTAGATCACCTTTAACACCTGTGGCTGCGCACTCACCTACGCCATTTAAACATTATTGTTTCCATTCCTTAGCCTGTTGGCAAACCTTTTCAGTTTATGTGCTCTTTGGACTTAAATTGTTATATTCACGTACGATTTTGCATTAAAAGTGTGCAAAAAATCATCAAAAAGTTAAAATTTACATGCTATTATCTGCCGCCAAGTTGATTTTTCCTGCCTCGTTTCCAAGCTCTGCTCTTGTTTTGTTAATTGCACTGTAGTAATTGCACTGCTCTTAGCCAATCGGAATTGAGTAATTTTTCATCTACAGTATATTATTATGTAATATAAAATTTAATACTAACGCCGCGTTTACACTATGACGCTACGGCAAATTTACCGTAGCGTAGTGATTTGCATCCGGAGTGCCAAACCTAGTGGTCCGTAGTTAATACGCTACGGCAAACCACTCCGTTGTAGTGTAAACACAATACTAAGAAACGTAGTGAATTTTTAACGGAATTGATTTCTGTAGTTAGTACGCTACGGCAAACCGCTCCGTTATAGTGTAAACACAATATAGTCTTAATACTAGAAACGTAGTAAATTTTTAACGGAGTGTTAGCCGTAGCGTCATAGTCAGAAACGCGGCCTAAGTTTAACAGTATATCTGATACCAATGCGGCGATGGGCGGTGAATGTTTAGCCTTACAAGTGTTTACTGTCAGTTTAAATGATAGAAATTAATTGAAAAAGTTACTTTTTCAGATAAAAAGAGCACAATCTCAAAACAATAACAACACAGATTATGGTAGGCATACTTCAGCTTCGTCTTCTGGCTACGCTGGATCTGGAGAAAACACGAGTTTTGCATTCATCCCGACAAAACTACGGAGGGACTTGATCGAGTTGTTGGATAGAAATATCACCGGAAGGGATAACTGGAAGATGTTAGCAGAACATCTAGGTTACAAGCTACAGTATATACAGTGGTTGGATGAACCTCGTATCCAGAGTCCAACAGAGAGGCTTCTTATGCGATGGGAAATTGATGTAACTGAAAGTCCAGAAGACGCATTACGTAATCTTGAAAAAATACTTCGGAAAATCGAAAGACATGATGCTGCAACTAAAATACAGGTGCATCTTAATGAATGTTCAATCGGAAAGGAAACCACAGTATAACAGTTTGCAGCTTTGTACTAATTACTGACGTGATGGATGGCGGCAACGTGACGGCCAAGCCGAGCAATACAATGAAATATTTAAGAAGAGAAATGAATAATCTGGCAAAATTCCAGGAAGATTTTGACGTCAAGTTCGCTCTGCGTACAACCGATAAACCAGGGTTTATACGTCTTTGTCAAACAAAGTATTTTCAGAAACCACAAAAACAAAGGGGAGCCCCAATTATATTTTTTCAAACATGTATAGGTTATTTTGAGTAACGAGGGGATATAGATTTATTTCACCGAGGCGCGCAGCGCCGAGGTGAATAAAACACATATCCCGTGAGGGAATATTGGGGAATTGATTATAGGGAATATTGAATATATTCCCCGACAAGAACAAAGGAACCTATTATGGGTGAAAACTTATTAGGTATATTTGCAGTAGCTGTAGTTGTCATGGTAACACGATAATTTTCGTATTTGTACTTTTACATACTTTTTATTACAAAATTTCTAAAAGATATATGGGTAATATCAGCTGAAATTTAATGTAAAATTCAGCCTTCAATACTAATTAGTGTAAAACATTTTGTAAGAAATTTTCATAAAATATAGTGCTTTTTATCGATAGACTTTTATCGATTAATATTAGTATAAGCATGGAAGGCGGAACTGGGGGGGGCAGGAGGGGCAGCTGCCCCTCTTGCCTTTTGCTAGGAGGGGCAATGGGGGCAGAAGTGCCCTTTGAGTTGTAAAATACTACCTGATAAATCACATTTCCAGTGATGCTTTTTGAGCAAAATCATGAGGTGTGATCTTGAATGTGACCTTATTAAGTGCGTTTGCTTTCATTGGCAAGTGAACACATTCAATTGTAGGTTTATATCTTCACCGGGATCTATAGAGGTGCCCCTTTGGTGTGCGTTTACCCCCCTTTGCCTTTTTATCGTAACAGCGTCCCTGAGTATAAGTCGCTGCATGAATTTGAGATATCTGGAAAATGGTTGGTAATACCTTGAATCAGTTATCTTCGAATGAAGGAAAGCAAGGTTAAGTTATTTGAAGCAGTTGCGGTGAATATTGTGTCAACTGCATATATGGACACTATATTGGCACCATTATGGCCAACTTTTGAAGGATCGAGTGCATGAATATCAGTCTATGGAATTTGTTCAGACCATTATAGTCATTCTTATAAAGATTTGGTGTTTCCCTTCCGTCACGTATGGTACGTATGTTTTATACTGAATATGGGTAAAATTAAATATACAGTATATCTTCTATTTAAGGCCAATGAAAATTGATGTCATGTTTCTCGTCCCCGCCCGCATGGGATTTATCTGCCGCACGAAAATTTTTCATTATTTATTATTTTTGAAAAATAGGCTTAACAAAACACCAAATTGGTCTCCAGATCAAAGTCTTATTGCTGCATTCCGCAAGCACAACTCAAAGTGATCTTTCTAAAGATATTACTCGCCAGAATGCCTCTATTTTTCATGTCAGCCCTGGTATGTATATAGAAATATACTGTACCGATTTACTTCAGCTTTTTATGGGTTTGTTACTGGGTGAAGGAAATTATTGGCAAGCAGAATTCAAATACAAAAAATAATGAAAAATGAAAAAAATCCCGCTCCGAATTTTTGAAAATTGTGGACGAGAAACATGATATCAATTTTCATTGGCCTTAGGGCGGGTCATAATAAATTCTGCCTGTCCAGGAGCGTGCGAGAGCGCCCAAGGATACACAAGATAGTATAAATCAATGTACGATCCATTCTGATTGTCTATGAGGCATTGTATTAATGATGAGGTTAATATTTAGTCAAATCTGATGTTTAGCACCGCTTCCTACATGGGCGGCCGCGCTTTACCGTTTGTTGCTAGGCTGGTGAAAATCAATTTTAATATTATCCATTAACATAAAACCTCATAGAGTCTCGATCAGAAAGGATCGCACACTGATTTATACTATCGTATATCCCCGGGCGCTCTTATGCATGCGCTCCCCTGGGTACTCCGGGCAATATTTAGTAGGTTTGTTAGTAGTTGCACTGTTTATTAGTAGTTGCATGTGATTGATAGAAATAGGTTATTCCCCAAAGCACGATGTCTGATCGACAAACATATGGCCCTAATGACTTCATACTTTGAAGTGTGACCCTAATACTTCATACTTTGAAGTGTGAAGCAATTATAGTACCATATAGCTGGGACATAAAAAACTGCAATCATGGTTATTAGTTAACTATTAGTAATGTTGGTGTATTATTAATCTGCATGACTTCACATTACCAGTATTAAATTTTGTATGCATCAAGTCAAATCAAATAAATACTGACACTACAATTGTTAGTCAGGCCAGTTAATATATACACACAGTAGTCAGTACCCTTTCACTTTATCTGATAGTCCACCAAATTCCAAAAGTTACTGTTGTGTGGGGGAGGGATGACCTCAGGGCTGAGGTCTCCCACCACTCATATTATCCTAGGCAAAACCCTGGATATGATGACAATGGTATGTAATGTAAATATGTTTTGTGTCGATCACCACTAGTAGTAGTTAAGTTATAACGTACATGCAGGCAATAACAGAACATGATCTAAATGACAAAATTGCTCATCAAGATGATGGGAATATAAATCATGATGGATGTATGGGTGCATGCAAATATTGTTTTAATGCAAAAATGCAGGAAATTACAGAACTTTATTTAGCTAAATCAAAGATAAGCAGTAATTGAAATCATGAGAATATTCATTTTATGCCTATATAGGCTCCTATAGGGAATTCGAAAATTTTCTGTAGGCACCGATAGGCCAGCTATAGATTTTTTCATGAGGTTAATCCGTTCGCTAATAGGTTTATAGAGTACAGTATGCGGGTATATAGATTGTACCAAGTTTGGAAATGAGACTCATTTTCTGCTCTTTGTCAATATTAACCAACTGAGCTGCAATGCGCCCCAGCGCGCCCTACTTTATTTTACTTGTCTAACGCCAGATGATTTTACTCCTCACAATGGGGAAGCTCTGCAGCTTAATGGGTTAACCAAAATATCTGACATTGGAAGTCGAAGACTGCATGGTAATTGGTAGCTACTGCGAGAGCATGAAATTTTAACTAGTCAAAACTATACAAACTTTTGTTGGTAGGGATTTGACGTTTCGAGCAAAAGCCCTTCGTTAATCAAAATATGAAACAAGTATGGAATAAGGTATGAATTGAAAGTACTGTCAACGTAGGAAAAACGTTCATTAATGCCATAGGGGTGAACAGTGCCAAGTTTGTAAATGAGACGTATTTCCTATGTCTTACATCACTCATTTTATAACACATTTCATAACCTAGTGTGGGAAGTATGGTTTTAAAAAAGGGATCGAATCAGCATTATGCCAAAAAGTCCTGTGGGAATAGGATTATCCATAGCGAGGGTTCGGAGATTAAATGGAATCACTACTCGTCGTGTCACAAGGGCTGAAATTTTTTACACGTCAGTGTGCGAAAAAATTGAATATTTTCCACAGGTACGGGTTGGCAAGGAAATCTAAAATTTTCGACAGGTTCGGGGATGGGCAAAAAAATCTGGTATTTTCAACAAGTATACATTTCAGTGTCATAATTCAATTTGTAGACCAGTATTTCAAAACATCGAGTTTTAGGTCAACTACAGTAATATTTATATTTCAATGACACTTCGACTTTCGACAAGTCGAGCCGAGATTTTGAACAATACTTAATAACGTTAAACGCAAAAACATACCGCTAAGCAAAAGTTTAAAAACTGGTTATCAACATACGTAATTTTTAATTTCAACTACGTACGATTTAGAGAATACTGGTGTCGTCTTTTTCAATCTAGTATTATTTCGCCAGCCTGTGTCAAAAAGACCATGAATTTTCCACGTGCGTACACGACGCGACTATGATGTCCGACAAAATCAACTTCAAATTTTACTAATAACTGCAGGGAGCCTGAACAATGGGACAAATCTACCTTATCAGTTAGAGGTTCCTTCTGGCAATGATAAGGATGTATACCTTCCACCATGAGTTAGAGGTAACCTTCCATCAAACCATCGCTATGGGCTACCTTATCCGTTATTTCTAGAGAGAGCAAGATTATGGGGGGCACAAAAAGACCTCCAACTAGGAAATGGTAATGATAAACTTCCCTTGATGGCGGGTTGGAGGTCCTCTCTAGGACATTTTCGTATTTGGGGGGCATCCAGAGCTTAATTTCCTACCAACAGCTATTTTAAATATTAATTAAAGAGTAATTCGTTGCCGCAAAAAAGTTATTTGTTACTGCCAAAGTGGCTACCTTTGACTTCATCAATGCTTAGCAGATGCACTGCAGTCCAGGTAGGAGACTTTTCAGATCAGAGATGCTATTTCTTACATGTATAAAATTGTACAAATATTTTAGCCCGTGATAAAAATATCCCTAACGTTTCTTAAAATATCACATGCTTATCATTTTTACCATGCTGCGTTGCCTTTCAACTTTAATTTACGCAAGTCATAAATTCTCGATCATTCTTGTAAACTTGCCAAGCATTTGAAATATTTTAAAGGTACTCGATAGAACGTGCTGAGTTAAAGTTATCAATTGGAAAGATAAGTATAACTTTAGGAATTGAATGACGCATTTCAAAGGTTGGTACTGGCATGGTATTTCATTTATATGTCGTTTTGTCGTTTCTTAACGCGCAATGTCGCCTAAAAGGTAAGAAACTGAGAAAGCAATTACATTTATTTTGCTTTGTTTTGTTGAAAACAACGCGTATATTTATTCAGCAAAGGTTTTGATCATCAGTGGACGGTGATTAATAGTTATTTGATATTCATATTTGGACTTATGACGATTTGGGGATTACGGATAGAAGCTTGCGTGTTGTGTCGCCATTCAAAACGATCGCACTTACTAGACTTAGTTCACCATGCAAGAAAGAGTTGCTTTGTCATTTTGGCGCGAGTTTAGCAAAGTTAGAATGTCTCAGTTGG